GCTCCCTTTTTTAAGAGTGATATAGAAAAGAAACATAACTATTTCACACAGAAATACTCAAAAGAAGTGGGATAATTTCAGCAAGAAATATTCTAGGCTCAAAAAATAGATGGGAAATGTGTGGCAGTGGCTTTTTAAGTAAAAAGAAATCTCTGAGAAGTTCTTTCTTGAGTTTCCTTGGTGTTGATGGGGAAAGAACATAAACTAATTCTTGGTTTGTTTTTGGTTTTTTTTTCTTTTGGGGGAGAGGTGTGTGTGGAAAATCTTCAGTATTGATAGCTATGTTATAATTCTGCTCCAAAATACAGGCTAACAATATGTGACATTGATATAACCAAGTTTTATAGACTTTGTTGATTAGAGACTATTTTCCAAAATTATTACTTTGGAGTAAGAATTACTTACTTCTTAATTTGGAGTTGGAGCGTAAATATTCGTGTTATCAGTCATATAAGTACACATTCTCTCAATAAGAATTTTTTTCTTCTATGATCCAGTGTAGCTCATGTTGGCCTATGTGGATCTGCAAACTACTTTTTTCATTTCTTGTTCTGAACTTGTTTGAGTATTTCTCTGTCCCTAAAGAAAAGCATCAAAGCAGACAGATCTGCTGGAGAAATTCCTTTCACAATTTTCATGCATCAGTGAGTGAAGAGGAAGAGGTTGGTGTACACAAAGCGATGTGGCATCTGCCCTGATAATTTTATGGCCTTATGCCTTTTTAACTTGAACCTAGTGTTTGGATTCTTTGGTAAGTAAATCTCCCGAAGGCCTGCTTTTATCCTGCTGGTAAGCATTTATCCTGCTTACCAGGATAAAATGTGGCAAACCAGTGGGTCTCAAAGCACAGTATTATATTATTCTGCTGTTACTAATATAAATAAGAAAGCACATCTTGTGAAAGGTAGGGTAGCTACCCTTCGGAACCTGAATTCTAGGGCTATAAGATAAGTCTTCAAAGTTCCAGCAGGTTGGTATTTTAAAAGCAAGATGCTATTATATGTCCAAAAGGGAATGTGAGTCTTCCTGGTGGTTATTTCTGGTAAAGAAATGGAGTGGTGAAACTCTGGCATTACTTATAACTTCATTGGAAATTATTCCTCAAGCAATACTTTTAACCATAGTAAAGTAGCTTGGGGGATTTTAATTTTGTTGAGTTTTCTAACTACATTTGAATCTGTATTTGAATATAGGACTTTCACATTTCCTTGAGGAAAAAAAAACATTTGGAACAGATGCTGATTTCAGTTACACTGCTGTAATCTTTGAAATCAATGAATCACTCCTGATGTAGTGTCACAGAATATACAATATATCTTCTATATTTGTATATCCAAAAAGGACACTAAGAATTTGATCTCTTGGTTGTATTTCTGTGTTATTTTCTATTCAGTATGCACAAATGTCCAAATAATACGTTATTTCTGTTAAAGAAAATGTATTGCAGATAAATTTAAGCCTAACATAAGCAGGCCTAAGCTTCTACTGAGTTCAGAAGAAAT